CCTCTCCACCCTGTGCTGCAGTCTCAGCCTCACCACTCCCCGCCGCCTCTCCACCCTGTGCTGCAGTCTCAGCGGTTAAGTGTGGCTGCTCTTAGTAACATACTAGAGAGACACTGTATTTTCTGTTCTTTTCCAAGACTCACTTTATTAGTGGGAGACACTTGGTGTGCTGACAGGAGTGAAAAGCTGCCTGTGTTCACAGGGATGACTCTGTGAACGACTGAGCCCCCGCTGCTGTTTCCAGTGGCTGACCCACAGCTACCTCGTGCACACAGCAGGAAAGTGGGCCTGACCTGCACCGTACTCAGGGTCACTGAGGGCTCTGGGCATCGTGTCATACCACGTCATCAAAGGCCTTCCTCTTCTTCAGTAACTCTCCACTTTACCAAGCAGAACCAGTACCAGTGCTGAGAAAGGACCCATTGAGCTCACCTCAATCCCTGTGTGTTCTTGCTGTGCCTACCCATCAAAAGCCCATCTGTGCACAGAGGACAGGGAGTCGCTCACACCCGGTGCCTTCCACTGCCTCAAGGAGGGGTGAGGCACTTCCCACCTGCTCTATTAACACACAGAGCTGCTCACACACTGTGCCTTCCACTGCCTCAAGGAGGGAAGAGGGTAGCCTACCTCCTCCATCAACACACAGAGCCAATCACACACGGTGCTTTCAAGTGCCTTAAGGAGGGACGGAGGCACTTCCCACCTGTTCCATCAACGCACAGAGCCGCTCACACACGGTGCCTTCCACTGCCTCTAGCAGCTGCTCTGTCAACACATGGATGGCAGCCTATCTGTGAAGGACCAAAACCTCAACAGAAAGTTCTGGGGAAACTGAAAGCAATGAGACTTTGGAAACTACAAATCTCCTGGCTGTCTGATGTCATTATCAATGGAGGGGGGAAAATACGAATATACAGACATACAAACAGTGAATATTAACTGTTGTTGTGAGGGGACAGCATAGCATAAACCCCATTTAAAAACAAAACAAAACAACAACAACCAAAAAAAAAAAACAAACACCCCATTAATCCCAGAAGCAGAAGTGGGCCATAAAAATTCTTAGCTTAGGAAAGGTAAAGCAATCACAAATGTGCCGGGTAAAGTTTTATGTGTCCTTGCAAAGTAAAGAATTAACTAGTGTCTACGTGACACAAAAAGAGTAAAGGCAGACAAAGCAGCCATGCCATCAGAAGTCGACCCACATGACTGATCCCCCGGCCCACCAACCACGCTTCCAATCTCCCCGCCCTGGACAGAAGCACCCGGAAAAGCCTTAAAAAAATTGCTCGGGGGGACTCAGGGCTTTTTTCTCTTGCCACCTTTCTACTGAGGGAGAGAGCCTCCATATGTGGAAAATTATTCTTCAGAGTAAAACACTCTTTGTATTTGCATACGCGAATTATTCCTTTGAGGGGCATTTCGTGGCAGAACAGTTGTTATGTGCCGTTGAGTTACTTGCGACTCATAGTGATCCTAGGAACAAGAGTCCTAAACGCCGTTCTATCCTGTGCCAACCTCGCCGTCTCAGACACATTCATTCCCACCGCTCCAGTCCAACCGATCCATCTCACCGAGGGTCTTCCTCTCCTGCACTGCCCCTCCACTCTCCCAAACATGATGTCCCTCTCCAAGGACCTCCCTGCAACATGCCCACAGTATGTCAGACGAAGCTTCAAAATCCTTGACTCCAAGGAGCATTCCGACTTCACCTTCTCCAGGACAAACCTGTTTGTTCTCCTAGCAGTCCATGGTATATTCAACACTCTTCTCCAGCACCACAGCTCAAAGGCATCAATTCTCTTTCTATCATCCCTATTCACTGTCCAACTCTCCGATGCATAGCACATAATTGCGAAGACTATAGCCTGGATCATGCGCACCTTAGTCTCCAGCCTGACACTGTTGCTCTTCAGTACTCTTGAGAGGTCCCTCACAACTGACTTTCCCAATGCAATTCATCTCTTGATTTCCTGACTGCTGTTACCAAGAGTGCTGACTGTGGAACCAAGTAAACAAAAACAGTTAACTATCTCAATCTCTTCACCATCCATACTGAGGCTGCCAATTGGCCCAGTCGTGAGAATCTGTTTCCTGACGTTGAGCCTCAATCCATATTGGAGGCTGCAGTCCTTGACCTTCTGCAGCAAGTGTTTCAGGTCCTCCTCAGTTTCAGTGAGCAAGGTTGTGTCATCTGCATAATACAGGTTGTTGATGATTCTTCCACCAATCCTGATGCCACATTCCTCCTCGTACAGCCCAGCGTCTCAGATGATCTGTTCAGCATACAGATTGAAAAGTTATGGAGACAAAATACATTCCTGATGGACCCCTTTCTTGATTTTGAACCATCCAGTGTCTCCCTACTCTGTTCTGACGACTGACTCTTGGTCCAAGTATAGGTTTCGCATCAGCACAATTAAATGTTCTGGGATTCCCATTCTTCTCAGAGTCAGCCACAGCTTGTTGTGATCCACACAGTCAAAAGCCTTTGCATAGTCAATGAAGCACAGACAGACATTCTTCTGGTATTCTCTGCTTTCTTCCAAGATCCATCTAACATTAGCTATAATATCCCTAGTACCACAACCTCTTCTAAATCCAGCCTGTACATCTGGCAGTTCTCTGTTGACATATTGTTCCAAACGTTTTTGGATAATTTTCAGCAGAATCATGCTTGCATGTGATATTAATGATATTGTTTGATAATTCCCGCACTCTGTTGGGTCACCTTTCTTTGGAATGGAAACAAATATCGATCTCTTCCAGGCAGTTGGCCAGCTGGCTGTCCTCCAGATTTCTTGGCACAACTTAGTGAGCACATCCAGGGCAGTGTCTGTCTGTTGAAATATGTCAACTGGTATGCTGTCAACTCGTGGAGCCTTGGTGTTTGCAAATTCCTTCAGAGCAACTTGAACTTCCTCCTTCATCACCATAGGCTCTTGCTCACATGTTATTTCATGAAATTCCTCTGTGCCAGCCAATTCCTTCTGATACAGTGACTCTGTGTACTCCTTCCATCTTCTCTCTTGATACTTCCTGATCATTTAACATTCTACTCAAAGTGTCCTTAAGTATTGCCACCCGTGCTTGAATGTCACTACTATCTATTTAATAATTCTTGTTGTCATAAATCTTGAGTGCCAGGAGGTACAAACACTTCAGTGTCTGGCAGCTAACGAAAGGCTGGTGGTACAGGGCATCTCGGAAGAAAGGTCTGATGCTGTGCTTCCCAGTCTATTAGAAAACAGGAAGGACGTGGGAGTTGGGGAAATTAAGGAAAGGGGATGAATAACGAACACTCTATTGGAGCAGAACTGTTCCAGGAAAGAACTGTTTAAAAGAAAGATATGATCAGGCATTGCATGTATAGCAACAGTGCAGAATAAGAGGTGCATAGCAAAGTGGACTGGGGGAGGTGGGGGGGGAGGAAATGATGCAACAATGAATATATTTTTTTAAAGTGAACTGGAGGAGTAAGGAAGAAAATGTGCAACAAAGAACTACTGGAAATCCAACTTTTCTGTATACTTTTATTACAATAAAAATTTAAAAAAAAAGATGCCAGCGCCTGGGAAGCGACGGAAAGCAGCCCATCTGGGAAGTACCTGGTTGCCAGAAGTTGTGGGCCAGAGACGGCCGAGCCGTGGCATCCGTCAGCTAGACCAAACCTCATCTGATGGTGACACTGAGCAAAGATGAGGACGGGCAGATCCACAAGCGGGCCCGTTTACAAACGCCCCCGAGGAGAGACTCAACAGGCTGCCTGACGGTGCACTGACCACTGGGCGCGGGTCAGCGGGATCTGCGCACGATGACCTTGGTGTTCAGGGAGCACCCGTGTGGCTGACTTCACTTAGAACAAGCCCTGGTGGTGTAGTCAGGGGTACGTTGTGCTGCTGACCAAAAACCACCAGTGGCCTGGAGGGAGGAAGACGGAATGCGTACAGCACAGAAGCTGATGGAACGTGGCTGTGAGCTGAAAGTGTCTCAATGGTAGTCCAGCTGAGACAGAGCTCCTGGGCCCTGTCTGAAAACACAGCTCTCAGAGGCCTTGTCTGCCCAGCTGCCCCTCCTCTCCTCCCACTTACTTCTCAGCTCACTGTAGGGCTAAACTCACCCCATCACTCTGGCCTGCTTTCCACCTGCATTTCATGGAGGCCTCAGGTGAGAAAAACAAATGCTGCCACAGACATGAGTAGGTCCAGGGGAGCCACAACTTTCCAATGGGAAGTCAACCTGCCGGTCAGCGGGGGAGCCCCACCTCAGGAGACTTGCCTCCGGAGACTCAGCTGTGTGGCACAGCACACACTCAGTTCCAAAACAGGGGCCCCACGGCTCTCCCCTCCACAATCCAGGGAGAGTTCAACCTCCAAGGAGATTGTTGATTGTGGATCTGAGTAAGATGAAATCATGGCCAGTGTTGTTGTTGTTAGGTGCCACCAAGTCAAACACGCCTCACAGCAACGCTATGAACAACAGATCTGAACCCTGGCCTGTTCTGTGCCATCCTCATCACCTCTGACCTCTCAAGCCCATTGCTGCAATCACTGTGTCAATCTACCTGGTTGAGGGTAAATTGGTCTTCCTCTCTTTCAGTGACCCTCTACCTTCCCAAGCATGACGCCCCTCTTCAAGGAATAACCTCTCTGCTGGGCTCTATGAGGAGACACGTGGCGTTAGGATTGGTGGAAGATCTATCAACAATCTGCATTATGCAGATGACATAACCCTGCTCGCTGAAACTGAGGAGGACCTCATGCACTTACTGCAGAGGGTCAAGGACTGCAGCCTTCAGTATGGACTGAGGCTCAATGTCAAGAAAACAAAGATTCTCACCATTGGACCAATTGGTAGCATCAGGATGGATGGCGCAGAGATTGAGATTGTTCACAGCTTCAGTTTGCTCGGCTCCACAGTCAACACTCTAGGCACCAGAAGCCAAGAAATCAAAAAACGTATTGTGATGGGAAAGTTTGCTGTTAGGGACTTAAAAGTACTCAAGAGCAACGGTGTCTCTCTGGAGACTAAGGTGCGCCTGATACAGGCCATGGTTTTTGCAATCACTTGTTATGCATCAGAGAGCTGGACAATGACTAGGGAGGACAGAAGGAGAATTGACGCTTTTGAGCTGTGGTGCTGGAGAAGAGTATTGAATGTACCATGGACTGCCAAGAAAACAAACAGATTCATCCTGGAGAGGGTTAAACCAGGCTGCTCCTTGGAGGCAAGGATTCTGGGGCTTCGTCTGACATACTTTGGACATGTTGTAAGGAGGGACAGGTCCTTGGAGAGGGACATCATGCTTGGTAGGGTAGAGGGACAGCACAGGAGGGGAAGACCCTCTATGAGGTGGGTTGATTCAGTGACTGGGGTCATCGGGATGGGCATGTCAGAGGCAGTGCGGTTGGTGTAGGATAGAGCAGGGTTTAGGGCTGTTGTGCATAGGGTCGCTATGAGTCGCAAACGACTCGACGGCACATAACAACAACAACATGTCCAAGGAATGTGAGAAGAAACTTCATCATCTTTGCTCCCAGGGGCACTCTAGCTGTACCTTCTCTGAGACAACACCTGTTCGTTCAATGATTTATTCATCACAAATGTCTTTTACAAGAATCACAAATGTGACTTTACACATGGACCTCACCTGATGAATGGCACAGGAATCAGACTAACTACATCTGTGGAAGGAATCATTGGAGAAGTTCAATGTTGGCAGTCAAAACTAGGCCAGGGATGGACTGTGCGTCGGGCCATCAATTAATCTTGTGTAAGTTCAAACTGAGGCTGAAGAAAATGAAAACAAGTCATGAGAACCAAAATGTGATCTTGAGTCTATTCTATCTGAATGAGGAAATCATGTTAAGAATAGGTTTGAAGCACTGAACGCCAGTGATGGGAGAGCAGATGAGTTATGGGATGACACTGAGAATATCATCCACGGAGAAAGCAAAAGGTCATTACACAGAGGATGAAGAAAAAACGGAAATGGGAATGAAAAGAGACTCTGAAAATTGCACTGGAGCATCGAGAAGCCAAAACATACAAAAGAGCCGAACAGAAGATTTGAAAGGGCAGCTGGTATAATTGAACATGCTGGAATTGGGGGAAAGCAGGGAAGAACTCACCATGCATTTCCCGAGAGAGCCATACAGGTTTATAAAAACAGCACTTGTTTACCTGTAAGGAGGTCCGAACCTACAGGCCAGGGTTCAGGTCTGCTGTCCATCAGGCCGCTCCAGGTCATGACAGCACCTCGCGACGTGAGGGACTCACCATAAATCTCATCCTGGAGCAGGACAGTGTGCAGGCCGTTCAGCACCATCGTCCTTCTTCCACTAACTACTGCTGCTTCCCGCTCCTGGGGTCAAGTGCTCTCGCGATGTAGCCGGTGCCAGGTTATCTCCAGGAGGCTGACCAAGCATACTAACACTTGTCCACCCTCTCACCAATTACGGCAGCGTGCTTCGAAGGTATTCCTAGGTGTGTACATTTCTCCAGTACCTGGGATTTAATGCTATAAACCACCCCTTTGCATACAGAGGTAACAGTACACCTAGCCTACTAGCCACTCTGACACCATAGCCACCGTGTGCAGTGTTAACCTACAGAGACCGTGTCTTTTAAAGCACACGACTGGCCCCGTCAGCCCAGAGAGCAGCTGCTTACCACTGCATCCAGGAACTCAATGCACCTCCTCAGATCGGGTTTCGTCTCGCAGAACTGCCTGAAGAGGAGTCTTCCTATCGGCTGCTTGTCACAAAGGCTGCTGTAATCCTTCTCTGCGTGAAGAAACGGGTAAGAACAAAAACGCCATTACAACCCACAAGGCACTTTTCTGAATCTGGCACTGAAACAACGGACGTCATGTGCCGTGTTTGCCGTTTTCATTTTTTTGGGGGGAAACCCCCAACAAAACACAGTATCAGTAGTTTTCTTGCTTACTAATTTACATGAGGTTATCATGAACATCACGGTACTGCAGTGGGATAGTACGTTATATGCTGGGCGCCTGGTCTAAATGGTCTACAGTTTGTCCATCAAGGGCTCCAAGGGAAAGGCGGGCACTCTCCTCCCTGGAAAGTCTGGTGTTGTTACGTGCTGTCCAGTCAACCATGACTCAGAGGGACCCTGTGAACGAAGGACCGGAACCCTGCCGGGGGACGACCTCGTCGTCTCTGACACACTGGAGTCACCGTGACAGTCACTCTGTCAAGCCAGTTCATTGAGGGTCTTCCTCTCCTCCACTGGCCCTCCCCACCTTTCCCAAGGCCTGGCCCCTTCTAACAACATGTCCAAAGGAGGGGCGGTGGGATTTCAGTGTCCTTGCCCCCAAGGAGCACGCTGGCGTCTCCTCCTGGACATGCTTGCTTGTCCTCCTGGCAGCCCTCTTGCCCTCCACCACAACCCTGTCCCCTGTCATCCTGGTTACTTGCTGAAATACAGATGATGAGAAGTGACTGAGAAGACCATGACTTCAATCAGGTGCGCCTCAGACCGCAGGCAGACAGCTCTGCTCGCCAGCACACTGGAGAGAGGTCCCTGACGCCAACACTCCCGATGAAATAGGTCATGATTTCTCGGCTGCTGATTCCAAGGTCTTGTCTGTGGATCTGGCCATCTCCATCTCCTCTCCATCTAGAGGTTCAATGGTAAGGGTCTTTGCTTTCCTGACGTTAAAATGCAACCCCTGTGGAAGGCTGTATTCCTTTATTCCTTGATCTTCTGTGGCAAGCATTTCAAGTCCTCCTAATGTTCAGTAAGCAAGGTTGTGTCATCTGCACTTGGATTCCACAATGACCACGGTGGGGGGGGAGGGGCAGAGACTACAGGCCACATGTCTGCTCTGTCCCAGCTCAGCTCCCCCTCTACCTACCCCGACGACCTGCCTACTTGACACAAACTTATGTCTGTGAAACATGCTACCTTACTTACATGGTAAAAGCTGCAGAGACTATCTACTTACTAGTAATTTTTTTTAATTTGTTATTTCTTTTCAGATGGATAGTATGTTACCATATACCTTACCTCAAACACTCATGTTGTTTTAAGGGCCAACTATACAATCACACTGTCATTGAGCAAGGGACGCAGGGCAACCCGTGACATCACAGACGCTGCACACCACAGGGGTTTCAACGGCTGTCACCTTAGGGAAAGGTTTGCAGGTGGTGCTAGAGTTTGTGCTCCCACTCTAACCCAAAGCTTGGCAAGTGAAGCCCACTTAGTGGTACTGCAGAGGAGGTCCGGGTGGTCCACGTTCATGGAGAGGACACCCTGGAACACCCTCCCCTCTGACACTGGGCACTGCCGGGGTCGGAATCTGCTGGACGTCAACTCACTGCAGACTTGCAGACACAGACTGCCAGGTCTCCCTTCTGCACCTCTGCTGTGGGGCTGAGTCGCCCACCTTCCAGTGAGACACACACACAAGCCATTAAAATCTGGTCAAAGTGTCAGGGAGGAGAGAAAACACAAACTGTATGCCTCTTGGTTAATTTAAATGTTAACGAGAAAATCTCTTGCTCTTTTACCCAGGGTTCTTGAGAAAAACACAACCATGCCCAGGCCCCTAGCGTGTCAAGTGAAAGCTGAAGAAATAAAGTCCCAGCAGCCAAGAGAGATTGCACAGTAACAGGGCGTGTTAGCAGCTCCACAGGGCTACGGACTGAGAGTCTGGGGACAGTGGGGCTCTGCATTACCGAGGCAGGAAGAGAACACACGCCTGCTTGTTTACTCCCCCCACTGCCATCAAGTTGACTCCTGCACACAGGGGCCCTGGAAGATGAACTGTCCCGCGGGGTTTCTCTCCTCATTCCAAAGCAATCTTCCTATAAAAAGAACACGAAATTCCAAGTTTTATACCTTGCTCATCTGCGTCAGCCACAAATCGAAAACAAATAGAAAGAAACCGGAAATTGGAAAAATCCAAGTCTAAACCTAGTTCTGCACCTCCAATGATTTATTCATTGCAAATACCTTTTATAAGAAACATAAAATCAGGCTATACCCATGGATCTCACCTGGTGGTATGCATAGGAATCTAATCGATGACATTTGTGGAAAGATTCGCTGGAGAAGCTCAATATCAGCAGTGAAAACCAGCCCGGGTGCTGACTATGGGACAGACCACCAACTACTCATATGCAAATTCAAGCTGAAGTTGAGGAAAATTAAGTCAAGTCCATGGGAACTAAGATTTGACCTTAAGTCTGTCCCATTTGATTTTCAAAACCATCTCAGGAACAGGTTTGAGGCCTTGAGCACCAATGAGCGTAGACCAAATGAGCTCTGGGAGGCTATCAAGAAAATCATCCATGAAGAATGCAAAAGATCATTACAAAGGCTGAAAAAGAAGAAAAGACCAAGATGGATGTCAGATGAGACTCTGAATATTGCATTAGAGCGCCAAGAAGCCAAAGCTAAAGGAAGAAATCAAGAAATCAAAGAGCTAAACAGAAAATTTCA